TATTTACTTATAGGTCCATAATTCTTTGGTACAATGTTATTTACAATTCCCATATGGCCACTCGGAGGAGTAGCTAAAGAGTTACCTCACCCATCAGATAACGGAGTTACAGCTCCTGGCGATTTTAAAAGTCAACCTGGAAGCTTCATTTACACAATAAAAGTTATCATGTGAATTCCTGAGACTAGAGGCCTTTAGTGCAAGGCAGCGTGGCCCGTGGTGAGGGGTGGACAGCTGCCAGGGCGGAGGTGGCCAGACCCCACCCACCCGGGCCGCCACCCTGCCTGGAGTTTCGGGAAAAGACGCCCCAGCCCCAGAAACAGGCTCACTCCGTCCCCGAGCCCCCAGGACACCCCCACACACTGACACCATTTGCCAGAGAGACTGTGCTAGAAGGTCAGGCTCCAGTCTCCGCTGTGCCTGGGACTTCTCTTTCGTCTTGTTCTTTAAGGAGGCCTGGTTTTCTGCGCTGGCGCCAGTGGGAGGGGTTTGAGCAACTGTGTGACTGTGGCCAGAGGCAGCCCATGGGCCGCACCCACGGGCCAGGCAGGGCGCCACAGCCCGGTGTCTGCAGGGACTGCTCACGCCCCGGGCACACCGCCCGAGCGGCCATCCCTTAGGTGACCAGCCCCAAGGCCAGAGGGCACGCCGTTAACCTGAGCAGAGGCGGAGGCGCAGGGCACGGGCCGCTGCACCCGATCTGTGGCAGGGCCGCCCGGGAGGGGGCTGTGGGGGTCGATGCCAGGGAGGCTGCTGTGACAGGCAGTGCCCGACGGCCCCTGGGCAGCACCAGCGGGTGGGAAGCCACACGCTCTGCACAGGGACACCCATTTAGACGTTAGGTTTGGTTTGATCACGTGGCTTCTCCTTTATTGACATTTTCTTCCGGCAAACAAATTCACAAAACTTTCCTGCTACAAAAATCTCTCGTTGAAAAGTAAGGCTTTCTGAGAATGGGAATCTGCGTGTGGTCAGAACAAGCCCTGTGGCCGGGAGGCCGTGCGTGCCGTGGGCCCCGGGCCCGGCCACCGGGAGTAAGGCAAGCGGTTGTGGCATGTAAACGGTGAGGACAGCAGCACCCTGCCCACGCCCTGGGGCGGGCGGGTTTCACCGCCATCCGGGGTCTGGGAGCCTGGCGGCGGGGGAGGGTGCTCCTTTGGGGTGAGGGGCCACATGAGAGGGGGCCTCTCCTCCCCCACCCATCGCCCAGAGCCACGACCCGGCCCTTGTTCTGCAGGACCCGGCAGCCCTGCCCTCCCTCCTGGCTGTGATGTCCTCCCGCCCCCTCAGAGCAGTTCATGGGCATCGGCCATGAGGCAGGACCCTAACTAGTGAGGCTCCGGCAGGGCGAGCTGCCAGCCTGCCCCCGGCCCCTGGGGACAGTCAACACGGGTCAGAGGGAGCCCCCCTCCAAGACCAGAGGGGCTAGGGGGGTGGAGCAGATGGGCCTCTCCGGGCAGCATGGCAGAACCTCCTAGAAGAAGGCTGCCCTCTCCAACCAAAAGACAACTATACAACCAGGCCCAGGCTGTCCCCTCCCCTCGCTGCTGCGGTGTGGGCTGTGGGCGTGGCCGTGGGCGAGGAGCTTCCGGGGCAGCACAGCCCAGAGGGGCTGGGAGACAGGAGAGGGCCAAGCCCTGCGGGGCTGGAGTCCCCCTTCCCGACAGTGCCCTGGGGGGGGGGGGGGGCTGGTGGACGGGACCCGCGGGGGCAGGAGGGGAGGATGGATCTGAGGTCACCTGCACCGCAGCCCTGGGACACCCCCCGCCACGTGGCTCCCTCTTTCGCCCGAGGAGAGGCATGTGGGGCCGCGGCCCAGGCCGTCCTGGCTCAGCCCCCCTCGCTGTGGGCGCCTGCTCCTTCTCAGGAGGGACTGCCTTAGAGGCCATGGTCCCCTGTGGCCTCTCTTCTTGGCGGCAACCGAATCCCAGTGCCTCCCACCCGGGCTGCTGAGCACAGGGAGCACGCGGCCTCTGAATGCAGCTCCTCTGTCACCGCTAACACGTGCCCTCCACAAGCCGCCCGGTGGGGACGGCGAGATGTGCTCGATGGCCCGAGGGGACGTGCCTTGGGTGGGAGCCACTCGGGCGAAGCTGGTTGGCGCCCAGGGCCCCGCCCAGTGCCCGCCCGCCCATCAACGGGGACCTCAACACCATCCCCACGGCCACGGCTGGGTTTTCTGCAAGCGGCCTCTGCTGACTGTAGAAAAAGCCACCCCTTTTGATGTAAAAAGTGCAGGTTTAAGGAGAGCTTCCGTGGGACCTGTCCTCGGGAAGGTGCGAGCCTTTGGTGTAAACGGCAGGAGGGAGGCAGGGCTGCTGGCAGAGGGCGAGCAGTGACCGAACCTGTTACTGTCTGGGAGGAGCCACAGCTCATAAGCCCCCCAATGGCTATTGTGTGCGGAAGGTGCCGAGGTCACCAAGGCCCACTTCCAACAGCCACACGGTCGTCTGCAGCCGGGCCGAGCCGGGCGGCTGAGTGAAGACTCGGGGCAGGCTCCTCGCCGCTGCCGCCAGGGCCGCCAGGGTGCGAGGAGCAGGGCGGGTGGAGCGCAGGGGGGTGGAGAGGGTGCGTGTGTGCGAGCTCTGTGCCTACAGTGAGGCTGGGCAAGGAGGCGGCAATGAACACACACTGCTCCTGCTGAGCACGGGGGGTCTGTCTCGAGGTGGACGGGCGCCCTGATTAAAGCCCCCAGGGAACGTCCACCACCATCGAGCATGCGCCTGGAATTCCGCAGGGGGCTGTGCAGGCCCTCGACCAGGCCCCGGAGCGGCCAGCGACACCCGCACCCTGACCTGGGCACAGGGCCCCGGAGCGGCCAGCGACACCCGCACCCTGACCTGGGCACCGGCCTGGCGTGGGCACCTGCTCACCCTCCCGCCTCCTGAGGACGTTTTCAAAAGGTTGACCTTCCATGGTGCCATCTCTCCGCTCCCGGAATCAACTAAGCCCATCCCTCAGTGACCGGGTGGCACGGGGAACGGCTGCCCCCTGCCAACCCTGCAGAGTGGGCCCCGGAGTGGCCGGGAGCCACGGGGCCGGGCTGGCCACACACGGGGGAGGTAAGCGGGTCTGTCTCCCCACCCCGTGTCTGCCCCCCATAGATGGCCTCTGACAAGCACCCCAAGTTGTTCCCTGGCCCCCGAGAGTTCAGACGCGGAGGCCCCCCGGCCCCGGGCCTCTGTCTCTCACTCGGAATTAAGGCCACTCGGGTCTGGTGCTGCTGCAGAAGGAAGCGCCTCCGGAACCTTCCAGCCTGAGGCGGGGCCCGGAGGCAAGGCACAGAGTAAGACTGAGTGAAAGAAGCTGGGGGCGACCCCCCACGGAACCTGAGCAGGTGGCCTAGAAGGACCCGACACCCCTGGATGGGCCTGAGCCCCCAACAAGCCCCGAAGGGTCGAACCCCAGCCAGGGCAGCAGGCAGAGCGGGGATGCGTGCCCGGCAGGCGCCTGGGATGCGTGGGGCCCACGTCCCACGAGGAAAAGGCGGGGAGACCCAAACCCACAGCAGTTCTGTGGCCCGTGGCCCACTGGTCAGGGCCGGGCTCCATTCCGCTGGCGGCGTGGCCGGGTGGGCGCCCTGGGCCGGGAGCTCTGCGGGCAGGAGCGCCTCTGCAGGAGGAGGGGGCGCGCTCCCGGGGACCCGACTCCTTCCGAATGCTTTCTCAGGCCCAGGAGTGGGGCTCCCGCTTCAAGCGCCTGCCCGTGCCCAGAGGGAGGCGTGGATCCTGGTGCGCCACCTGCCCGGGCCGGGCCTCAGTTATTCTCTATTTGTTCAATATCCAACTCGCCGTCCAGGGAGCAGGGGCTGCTCTCGGCCACCCGGTCCCGCCAGGCAGGGGCAGGCTCCCCCCGCCTGCCACAGCCCTCGTCCGGGGCGCAGCCCTCCGCCTCCTCCCAGCACAGCTCCTCCTTGCAGGCCAGGTCATCAAAGGAGGGGGCGAGAGGCTCGGGCACCGGGGTCCCGGCGGGGGTCCTGCCCCCGGGCCCGGAGGCGGAGGCGGAGAACAGGGCGGCCCAGGACCTGGTGCTGCCGACGTGGAGGGCGAAGGGGCTGCGGGGGCCGCGGTCCTCCATCAGAGAGCTCAGACACCTCAGGCTGTTGAAGGTTCTTGGCAGTTCTGGGGGGCGAAAACACACACCAGGTTACCAAGGGGTCACGCCCCCCCTCCCGGAACCCCAAGGACCCCGGGCCCCCTCAAGGCCAGGCCCATGCCCGCCAGGCGGGGGCAGACCCCCCAAATCCTGGGCTCCTCCATCGTCTGGAAGGAGAAGGGGCCGTCGGCCACTCACTCGGGAAGACAGGCTGGGCCCACAGTACATGCTGAGATGCGAGAGCCCGGCCGCGGGCGCAGGGGCTGAGCGTCGACCTGTGACCCAGGAGGTCCGGCTTCGATTCCCGGTCAGGGCGCAGGCCCGGGTGTGGGCTCCATCCCCAGTAGGGGGTGTGCAGGAGGCAGCCGATCCGTGATTCTCTCTCATCATAGAGGTTTCTCTCTCTCCCTCTCCCTTCCTCTCTGAAATAATTAAAAACACATTTTTTTAAAAAAACAAATACAAAATTCAGTGAGTCCCCTACAAAGTGGCAAAGGGCACAGGCTTGGCAGCACCCACTTCTGGGGAGGCCGCAGGGCAGGCTCCGAGCCCTCGGGCACCTTTCCGAAGGGTGACCTGATCAAAAGGAACCCGATGCCTCTGGGCAACCCCACGTCTAGGGTTTTGTCTGGAGAAAACACTTTCGGGGGCGTGCACAGCTCCAGCCCCAGGACGATGCCTCCCACACGGCTCAGCCGACAGGACAGTCACCCACACCCTCCACGGCGGCTCCAAGCAGGCCTTGCAGACAAGGGAGGCTCTTGAGCCACTGGAAGAACATTCCGCAGTGAATCTACTGACGCAAATGGAAACGCGCCAGCTGCACTGCTGCACAAAGGGGCACAATGCCCACCCCACCCACTGGCCCAGATCAGAGCTGGGGGGACGGAGGGCTGAGCTGATGCCCGGCCTGGGCTGGGTGACACCAGCCAGCAGCGAGCTGGTTTCCACGGGAACCGGCCCCGCCTGAGATGCTGAGATGCTGGCGCTCCGGGAGGAGGCTCCAGGCCTCCGACAGCACTCAGGAGGGCCTCGGGCAGACCCCTTAGCTCCCCCCAGGCCGGCTGCCTCCTCTGTCAGAGGCCCCAGCAAGAGGGCGCGGCTGACGAGAGCTCCTGGTACAGGGCTGGCCTCATGGGCCGGCTCAGAGGGACCCCAGGCCTGGAGAATGCTCTGCTTTTGCCATCTTGAAATCCAGAAGTCTTTAAAAAGGGCCCCGCATTTTCACAGCTCATTATCTTTGCTCCCTGAGTTTAAAAAGAACCCCGTTCCCCCACCCACTGCTGCCTCTGTGCGGGACCTGCCTGCGCAGTGGGCACAGCCTGAATGCCACCCCAGGGTGCTGGGCCGCATGGCGCACACGTGGCTGAGTCAGATGTCAGTTTTCCCAGCAGAGGGCTGCCAGCCAGGGGCGCGCCCGGCCGGAGGTCCTCCCAGGACCAGAGCAGGGCAGGCCTTCCAGGGACCACGGGAGAGGTGCGGGCGGGACCTGCACACCGCACGCCGCCCAGGCCAAGGCCACAGGCTCCCGAGGGCCAGTCCTCTCACAGCCCACGTCTGTGTCCCTCGTGGAAGCTGACCACCGCTGTCCCGGCAAGCTGGCTGCCTCAGGGAACAGGTTCGGGGACTGGGAAATAAAAGCCTCTCCCGGGAGGTGCCTTGTTTCTGAGCGCCACGGAGGACGCTGTTCTGGTGGCTTAGAATCTTCTGATTAACCAGAAAGGTGAAGCCTGGGGTTGGGGGGGGGGTGCCCCGGGGAAAAGCACTGGGATTGAGAAGGGCTGGGCCCCCGATTAGACCTCCAAGACCCCAGAGGCCAGAGGCCAGCCCAGGCGAGACAGGAGCCCGGCTGCAGCCCCGACCTGGGCCACGGGGGGTTCAGCGAGCCCCCACCCCTTCCGCTGAGTCCACACAGAGTATATGCCCTCCCCCCACATGGCAGAAGGCCGCTGGCGGCTTCTCATGCAAAACAGAGGATCCCAGGTCAGAACACGATCTGAGGCTGGGCGGGCGGAAGCCCCAGAGGCCTGCGATGGGGAGCGGGGGCGGGGGGGGGGTGTCTTTGAGGCCCCTTCTGCCTCCCAGCCAGTGTCCCGACTGGCCCAGACCTGAGCCAGGACAGAACTGGGTCGGACGCAGGAAAGAGGGCCCAGCCCAGACAGGGAACTCACCCCCACGCCGGCCTGTGTCCCCGGCCACCGCCCCAGCCGCCCAGGCAGCAAGGCCCCGAGCAAGCGTGGCCAGGAGACGCGTGGCACTCAGAAGCACCACTACGTGGTCTGTGTCGCCCACAGAAGTGGGGGGGGACCCCACGGATGGCGATGGGACTCTGCTATAAATCACACCGTCCGACCTCAGCCTCCCCAGGAACCTCAGCCCAAAGGGCTGCGAATGGTCACGGGGACACGGGGCCTCACACCTGCGCCCCACAGACTGACGCTGAGGTGACACGGGGCCTCACACCTGCGCCCCACAGGCTGACGCTGAGCAGGTGACACGGGACCTCACACCTGCGCCCCGCAGGCTGATGCTGAGCAGGTGACACGGGAACTCACACCTGCGCCCCGCAGGCTGACGCTGAGGTGACACGGGAACTCACACCTGCACCCCGCAGGCTGACCCTGAGGTGACACGGGACCTCACACCTGCACCCCGCAGGCTGACCCTGAGGTGACACGGGACCTCACACCTGCACCCCGCAGGCTGACCCTGAGGTGACACGGGACCTCACGCCTGCACCCCGCAGGCTGACCCTGAGCAGGCACCACCGTCTCCGGAGCTGGAGCTGGAGGATGGTGGGAGCGCGGGTGCAAACAGGACAGGAAGCTCCTGGGTCTGCGTGTGCCTCCCCTGCTGCCCGGATGGTCCTGCCTGACTTCATGGCACACGGGACAGTGCCCGGGCCCTGCTCATGCCAGCGTCGGCCACGCCAGCGGCTGGGTGCTGCGGCCCCCACTTGCTGGAACTTTTCAGAGACGTAGCTCTGGCCTCGGTTGCCTGGAGAGGGCTGAGGTCAGACGGGCTGTTGCAGACCCGGGTTGGCCTGGAAGGGGCACCAGGGCTTCAGATGAGCCCCCCGACCTGCCCAAGGAGGGGGGCTGAGGGTACCAGGGCCACTGCTCTGCGCTCTGGACCCCGGGGTCCCTGCTCGGCAGCAGGCGAGAAGCTGCGAGGTTCAGCTGGTACATGAGTCAGCCCCAGGCCGCCAGGGCACCCCACCCCCACCAGTCCCCAGGCACCTGCTCCTGGGCTGCAAAGCCGAGGTCACCTTGAAACCTTGTTGACTCAAAACTCAGCCGCAGTAAACACCCAGGCCCGCCTCCTCCAATTATGCCCTGGCGGTGGCACACCCCTCCGGCTGGCCAGGAGGAATGTGACGGCCACAATGGGGCAGTGTGTCCCCCACACTGACCTCCAGAGTGCATACCACGCCAGCCCTGCGGCTGCCCTGTGCCCACCACGCCCTGGCAGGGACCAGCCCAGCCGCTCCTGGAAGCTGACGCTGCCCGGAAGCCCAGCTCCCAGCTCCCCAGGAGGAAGGCTGCAGGGCTGCTGGAGGCCTGTGTGCCCTCAAGGATGTCTGGGGCCCCGCCGGCCTGGCTCAGTGGTTGAGCATCGACCTATGAAACAGGAGGTCACGGTTCAATTCCGTCAGGACACAGGCCCGGGTTGCAGGCTCATCCCCAGTGTGGGGCGTGCAGGAGGCAGCCGATCCATGACTTTCTCATCATGGATGTTTCTCTCTCTCTCCCTCGCCCTTCCTCTCTGAGATCAATAAAAATAGACTTAATTTTAAAAAATGTCTGGGGACCTGCAGGGCTTCAGCACCACATGAGCGCGTCCTCTGGGTGAAAGGGCAGCATCGGGACCAGTCCCCGCTCCCAGCACTGCCCTGGGGAAGGGCCGCCGACGTGGGTAGGCACAGGCCGGCCCAGCCAACCCAGCTCGGACTGTCCGTGGGGCCTCAGGCTAGTGGCTGAAGACATGGTCGCACCCAGTCCTACAGTCTGGGGCGACTTAGGAATGGAGCCCCCAAAAGTCAGATCTTTCCCATGAGACCAGCCAGGCCTCAGCTGCAGCCGCGTGTCAGCCCACCCCACCTGCCCCCGGGTCTTCCCAGCCAGGGGGCGGGGCGTGACCCCCTTCCCCACCCAGCCGCTCTGTGCCAATATTCGTCCTGCGCTCTCCTCTGGGTGGGAGGTCCCTGTGCCGGGCCCTGAAGACAAAGCGGGGGGCGGGGGCAGCTGTCCTGGGCCTTAGGGGGACCACATCTAAGGGGCTCTTCACACGGCTCCCCGTGAGGTCGGGCTGAGGGCTGCCCCCCATCCTGTCCACTCCCCTCTCCCCCTCCAGTGTCTGAGAGCCTCCCCATTCGGCCCTGAACCCCCCTCAGGCTCTGCCTCCAGGAACCAACGACCTGCTGGGAGCATCTCCCTCTTTTCAAGTCCAATTTGACGGTGGCTCAGCGGGTTGGGTGTCGTGCTGTGCACCCAAAGGCCGCCGGTGGGTTCCCGGTCAGGGCACAGGCCAGGATGAGGGCTCGATCCCCAGCAGGGGGCGTGCAGGAGGCTGATGGATATTGTTCTCTCACATCATTGATGTTTCTCTCTCTCTCTCTCTCCTCCCCCTTCCCCCACATGTCCTCAGATGAGGACTAATAAATAAATAAAACCCAATTGGCCGATCTCTGTGTTATAGATTTGGGGTATAACGACCCCAACCTAAAGTCAGGTGATCAGATCAGCCACCAGCCTGGCCTTCGCTTCCTGGAGCCACAGCCGCTGTCCCGGGGGCTGCGGCCGAGCGCAGGCATTTCCTCCCCACACAGACGCCTACACAGAGTCCTCCCAGCATCAGGGAACCCAGGCCTGAGAACGCCGCGCCTGGAAGGTTCCTAATTACGCTGGAAGCTGGCAGAGACCAGCATGGCAAGGCCTGTGGCTTCCTGGGGTGGTTTCTTTCTACCTCAGAAAAGAGCGAGAAGAACTAGAATATGGGGCCTCTTTA